GGCGAAGACTACTACAAGCTAGTTAATCTTTCCGGGTCTGATTGACGAAAAGAGTGTGATCTCAATCCATAGAGCACGGGATAGGAGTCTGGCATAAACAATCGCTGCGAGTTGTGGTCGCAATTTATTTGAAGTTGAGATGATCTCCCATCTGTTGATAGGCGTTTTTGGGAGGCAAGATATATCTACCCCAAATCTTCAGCTTTAAATTTTCGTATAGCTTTAGATGGCCGGCTATGCAGCGGGCAAGAGTCCATAAACTGTCTATCCTATGGATGTCGGTTATTGTATAATCCATTGGTTTTCGAGTTGCAAACCTCGTGCAACTCAAATGTTTGACATGCCACGTTTGATCAATTGCATGTTTCAGAACAGTAAACAAAAACTAGTGGAACTCATAAGCAATCCAAATATGTAATCTTCTATCAGTGTAAAGAAAATATACATGCCTGTGATGAATGCTACATAAGTTTAGAATCTTCTATCATATGCCCGAGATAGCGCTTTTTAAAATACAGTGTTTAATAGATAGTGCCCCGTGCGACGGCAGTGAAACACATCCTGGAGACACGTGGGTCCTATTAAGGTAGTCGATAGATTCACTAATTAAAGCACCTATATATTATTGTCTAATTAAGAATGCTATGGTATTTTACACGAAATTAACGCAATATTAGTAAACAAGCCCCCTGGGAAGGGTTATAGCGATGAAGTGTCTCAAAAATTTATGTGTTATGTTCTCCAGTTTTGCACAATCAATAGTATTTTAAAACACTGCATAGGCCTGTACTCTCCGAAGTGTATCGATTTTTTATGCTCAGCCGACGAGACCGTCTCGCAGCCGTTTGTGTACGGCCGAACTATGTGATTAAGAGATGGCCTCTTCTAACTCCGATTTTTAGGTTTTAGATCTTGTGTCAACCCGAAATGGACGTCTAGGACCGAAACTAGTAGCTGCTTCTGTGTGACCTTTGGTTGGAAAGTGGACTCTTCCAAGTTCCCGACTTTATCTATATTGTACGCGAGTTACTACGTATACATGAACTTATTAATCCAATATTGGTACTACTTTCGCCAGTACTGCATGTACTTGTGTATCTGCTCAACCATCTGGGGAAAGAGCGCCCCCACACTATCATTGATAACTGTTTGCAAATAGGCAACGGCCTCCTCCTCGTTCAAGTCTAAGCGGAACTGTTCCTCAATCTAATAAAGCGTTGAGAGTACAAAGAAAGAGAAACTCAGTAGTTGTGATAGTATGCATACATATTACGTATCTCTACCATAAGCACACAGCTAATCCAAATGCATCCCTAAATGTATAAATACATCAATATAGCATTTATAACAATAATACCCTTTAATTTATACGGTCTTATCGTCGCATTAATATATGTCGGAATAAGTACAAAGGTACAAACACGCGTACTAGAAAACGCGCAATCATATGCACTCGACACAAACCGCAAGCGCATACACCGAAGGTGCATATGTGATTGCCGACCTGTACGCAATAGTATAATACTGGAAACATTGAAAGTACTACACTCGAGTGCTTTACTATGTATTATATATGTTGGTATGTACACTATACGATAGTATGTCAGTACCGGCAGATACCAACACCATCTCTGCAGACAACTGGCCATACAGATGTAGTTTTGTACTACTTACGTACATTTCTTACAACTCGCTGCAAAACGATGGACTCGATAAACAGGCACAGCAGGACTAAATATAGGAGGGGATTTCTTTGGACCTTTTGGATTATACAGTGATCTATCTTAAAATCACGAACTCTATCATAAGAAACGAATAAAACACGCCAAAGAACGATATAGGATCTACCACACCAAAGTGCCCATGAAGGACTGAAGCCATCTACCGCCACACACGACTATGGAATTAGCCTAACAACCCAACAATCCCAGCGGCGAAAGCAGTTACCTTGGCAACGCATTTGTCTGGTTCCGCAGCGATGTCGGGGATGTTGGCCGTCGTCATGAGATTGAACAGATTCAGAATAAGATTCGCAGACCGGCGCAGAATCAGGAATGCGTTGTAGCAGTTGGATGTGAATTTCTTGTACTCGGCTGAGGTGGCGCCTCCCATCCCCTCAATCATCTCCTTGGTCAGCTGTGGGGGTGACAGAGATTGGGTGGGTCGTCAAAGTGTATATATGTAAAATGACATGCATGTGTGTATAAGGAACGCGTTGAAGCGATTAGATGTAAAATTCTCGTATTAATCCGTATGAGTGATACTATATGTGCGTTATGGTTTGCCATTCTTGTAATGGTCTATTGAGTCAGCAATAGCTGCACAGAATACGACAGATGCCAGCAGTGGCAACGAAAATTACGACAAATGCCAAAGTACTAGCCAAGAATACGAAAAATGTCATCAAAAGTAGCAAATAATACGACAGATGCCAGCAGTAGTAGTGATTTATACGACAGATTTGTGCAACAATAGCAAATAATATGACACGTGCCATCAGCAGTTGCAATTAATACGACAGATGCCAGCGGTAGTAGTGATTTATACGACGGATTTGAGCAACAATAGCATATAATACGAAACATGCCATCAGCAGTTGCAATTCATATGACAGATGCCAGTGGTAGTAGTGATTTATACGACGGATTTGAGCAACAATAGCAAATAATACGACAAATGTCAGCAGGTGGCCAATAATACGACAAATGCCATCAGCAGTTGCAATCAATACGACAAACGCTTGTCTCACGGTAAAGGGCCGGAACTTTTTAAAATTTGGTGAGATAGTACGTGATTTGCATGGAGTGAAAAGTGTGCCCCCCAAAAAAAAATTGTCTCAGCGGGATTGATACCGCCTGATGTGAGAGTTTTCTCGGCCAGAATCGAACTGACGACCCTCACGGTGTAAACATGATGTGATAACCCCTACACCACGAGAAGATATAGGTAGGTGCGGATGCTTGGCTACATATCAGAAGAACAATATGACAAATGTCAGAATGACTGATGAGCATTATGGGAATGTTAGTCATACACTATGGGAATGCCAGCTGCAGTATTATACATTATGAGAATGTCAGCTGCAGTATCATATATTATGAGAATGTCAGCTGCAGTAGTAAACAAGGGTGAAAAACGTCAGCTGTAGTAGCAACTGATGTGACAAATAATTACATTCAGACGTGACCGTGTTTGTACGCATACACTGTATATACTTGCACACGAGTACCTTCTTGCGAGTGTGCATAAGGTGCTATGACTGCACACCTGGAGAGCGCTCCTGTATCTATATGCGGGAGGGGGGGGGGGGTTCTACTACTACGAGCATAGGTGTCTACTAAATGAGTTCGTGTTATATATGTGGACGTGTGTGTACTACTACCAACAAAGGTGCTTATTAAACTAAGTTCGTGTTATATATGTGGATCTGTGTGTACCACTACGAACAAAAGCGTTTATTAAGTTTGTGTTCTTCTGTCTCGTGAACTATCAACAAATTACAGCAAACATACACCTATAAGGGCAACTTTATAAACAGGGACAGCACCCAGCCCCTAATTCCTAAACCTTAGACCCTGACCCTCAAAATGCTTAGCTATACCTCATAAGCGAAACATGATGCACCTCGACCCCTTGACTACGCGTGACAGAACGCATCGCATCTACGCACACACGAGAAATACACCGTCACCCGCGAATTCACACACTCACACTCGCCAGTATGCATATAAACTAGAACTTACATGTACTTGAATATATACATATGTTGACATATATGCACATGCACACACGCTTGCATTTAAAGCATACATGTACACACTCCCATACGTGCATATCATGTTATATATGTACGCATACTCTGCCCCATGCACACACCCACACACCTTCATTGGAGGTGCAAAGGGCTTCGGATCTCGGCCCAAAATATACCCAAAGTCAATATGGAACAGATGGCCATCAGTCATGAGCATCAGATTGTCCAGATGCCGATCGCCAATGCCAAGGATGTACGATATCACACAGTACCCCGCTGAGTGTGCACGTCAGGTGTATGAAAGTGGTCTGTGAATGCTTGGACGCTGTGTGATAGAAGACCGGTCATGCTTTATACCTATGCAGGGGTTATGAGGATGGTCGGTTCATGCTATCTCACTTAAGATCCTTGGTACTGAGCGAGCGCATGGTAGGTTTGTCGTACGTATATTGTAGTACCTTGGTATGTATCTGAGCAGTGTTAAACAAATGGTCCTCAGTCATAGGCATACGTTTGCATGATATGATATGTCTTTTAATGTTATGTCTTGTTATGCCAGCATCCCTCCGTCATCGTTCGGGGTGGCGTGCAGTGTACATACGGACATGCATGTGTGTGCTGTGCCTATACAGATGCAGGTAACCATCATGAGTCCTATAACCCTACCGGTATACCTCTTTCCACACACATACAACAGAGTTCGATGAAAATATCTTTGACACGGCATAATCAAACAATTATAGCGATGTTCACACACACACCAACACCACGGCTGTACGTATCCAGGAGGCCTATACCCATACTAGTATACCCCATTTCTACACATATACAACAAAGCTCATTGTACATACCCTAGACACTTCACAATCAACCGAGTATAGGAATTCATGAACACCACCAGGCTTCGCGATACAGGTTGACAAGTTAGACAACAACTACGACCACCAGACAAATGGCGTATGGCATATGCACATGGTGAGACATAGTTCGTATCTGTAGGCATACCCGCCCAAACTGAGGATGGGCGTACTCATGAGACCTATAAGCACTTCAGTATGTGCCCTGTTGCAATTACACATCCCACAAATGCGAATATACATATGTTTCACACTATATCTAAGTATAGACTAATAGACACACATATCACAACTGGGTATGCACATATGTATGACACTATGTATCTATATAAGTACACACATACCACACCTGCTGATAGACATATGTATAACACTTTAAATCTATAGAAGTATGGGCTATTACATGCACGACACTTTATAGATATGAAAGTTTGGATTTTTATATTTATGGCACTTTAAAACTATAAAAGTATGGACTATTACATGTATGACATTATGTTGATATAAAAGTATAGACTATTCTACGTATGATATTTTGTATCTATAAAAGTATGGACTATTACATGTATGACATATAGATATAAAAGTATATACTATTCTACGTATGATATTTTATATCTATACAAGTATGGACTATTACATGTATGACATTATATAGATATAAAAGTATAGACTATTATACGTATGATATTTTATATCTATAAAAGCATGGACTATTACGCACACATACCACAACTGCGAATGTATGTGTCCATGACTTCTGCTTTGATCCCGTACGGTCCGGCGGTGTCTGAGTTGTACTTTCTAAAAAAGTTTTGTACGCTGCCCTCGCCATCCAGCACCGCCGCAACGGATATGGACTCAATGAACTGCACCATACCTGTAGGGTTTTGGGGTTTTGGGATTTCAGGGTTTTAGGGTTTAATATGATAAATGCGAAGATGTGTGAATAGCAATTTACTATTGACAACGTGTAATATATATATATATATATATATATATATATATATATATATNTGTGTGTGTGTGTGTGTGTGTGTGTGTGTGTGTGTGTGTGTGTGTGTGT